ATTGCATTTTCATCCCAATTCATATATACCTAAGTAATAAAATGCTTACTAAACTATAAAAGATTCTTCTGATTTAAAATCTACAAGGTACCATGTTTTTTGTTTGTTTGTTGTTTGTTTCATTTTGACCTGCCAGTTGAAGCTAGACAGGATGAATTAATAAGCACACATGTTCTTTTTTGTTTTTTTGAAATGTGTTTATATTTTATTTAATTATTTTATTATGAAAATACTGGACAGAGGAGTTACAACCACCTCCCTAGCCAGAAATGCAAATCAAACAACATTGAGATTCCACCTCACCCCAGTTAGAATGGATATAATCAAGAACTCTAATAACAACTGATGCTGGAGGGGATATGGACAGAAGGGAACCTTACTGTATTGTTGGTGGGAGTGCAAACTTGTTCAACCACTTAGGAAAATAGTATGGAGATTTCTCAAAAGACTCCACATAGAGCTCTCCTATGACCCACCAATTCCACTTTTTGGCATTGAATGATCACAAACAAGACCATACTAAAGCTACCAGCACAACTGTGTTTATTGCAGCATTATTTACCATAGCTAAGATATGGAACAAAGTTTCTTTTTTTAAAAATTGTGAAAATACTGTACAGAGGGGTTACAATTGCATGGGCAAGGTAATGAGCATATTTCTTATCAAGCATTGTTGCCTCCTCCTTTGTTTCCCCTTCCAATCCCTTCCCATCCTTTCCGATCCCCCCAACCCACGCCAAAGTTGTAAAGTTCGTTTTTCGACATAACTTCTTATACATCTCATTGTTGCAATGGGTCCACCTGTATCCCTATTTAAACAATTTGTTCTTTCCCTTCCCTTCCACAAAGTATACCAACATCATATACTGTGAAAACAGGGGTTAAACCGTGGGGGAGGGACATACAAAGTAACAAAAAAATCATCTTATAAATATGTTAGAAACAATTGCAAGAAAGAAAAAACATTTGAATCCTTATCTTGGGGTTCATTTCACCTAACATCAACTTATCTGACCATTTCTGCTTGTCTCAGACATATACTAGTTATTGCAAATAAGAGAAAGCATGGGACCTATGTTTCCTTGGGCCTGGCTTACTTCACTTGATATAATTTTTCCAAGTCTTTCTATTTCCTAACAAATGGGGAAATGTCATTCTTTCTGATGGAGGCATAGAATTCCATTGTGTATATATACCACATTTTCTTGATCCATTCATCTACTGAGGGGCATCTGGGTTGGTTCCATATCTTAGCTATGGTAAATAATGCTGCAATAAACATAGTTGTGCTGGTAGCTTTAGTATGGTCTTGTTTGTGATCATTTGGGTAAATGCCCAAAAGTGGGATTGCTGGGTCATAGGGGAGCTCTATGTGGATTCTTTTGAGGTACCTCCATACTACTTTCCAAAGTGATTGAACAAGTTTACACTCCCACCAACAATGCAGTAGGGGGTCCCTTCTGTCCACATCCCCTCCAGCATCTGTTGATTTATTAGAGTTCTTGATTTTTGCCATTCTAACTGGGGTGAGGTGGTATCTCACTGTTGTTTTGATTTGCATTTCTTTTATGGCTAGAGAGGTTGTGCATTTCTTCATGTGTCTATTGGCTATGCTTCTTTCCTCTTCAGAGAGTTTCTCTTTAAGTCTTTAGCCTACTTACTCATTGGGCAGTTGTTTCTTTGAGGATTTGTTGTTGGGGGATTTAATTTTTTGTGTTCCAAGTATATTTTAGATATGAGACCCTTGTCCATTGTATAGCTAGTGAAGATCTCCCAATCCATGGGCTTTCTATTCATCTTGCTAGCCATGTCCTTTGCCATGCAGAAGCTCTGCAATTTCATGCAATCCTATTTGTCCAACCTTTCTTTGATTTGTTGTTTCTGGGTCTCTATTAAGAAAATTTCAGCCTGTGCCAAGGAGACCAAGGGTTTCTTCTATTCCATCTTGTAATGTTTTCAGAGTGTCTGCTTTGACTCTAAGGTCTTTGATCCATTTGGAGTTGATTCTGGTGCAGGGTGATATAGGAAGATCTAGTTTTAGTTTTCTACAAGTGATTAACCAATTTTACCAGCACCATTTCCTGAAGGGGCTGTCTTTCTTTCATTCTATTTTTTAGCTCCCTTATCAAAAATTAGATTGCTATAGGTCTGTGGATTCATTTCTGGGTCTTCAATTCTATTCCATTGGTTCTGAGGTCTGTTCTTGTCCCAGTACAAAGCTGTTTTAATTACTATGGAACCATGTACCTTAATAAGACAAAGAAAATGTAAACTGTGATATTAGGTGTATCAGGATAGTTCCATGTATTTATTCTTTATTCTATTAAACTTTGGGTATGCAAACCTATTGCAAAATATTGCAATGGCCTATTCAGTGAGTAAAATGGAGAAAGAGTATTACTTTCATTTTACATATCCTGCTGGTGGCTCACACTTATAATCCTAGCTACTCAGGAAGCTGAGATCTGAGGATTGAGGTTCAGAGCCAACCTGGGCAAGAAATGTTGTTAAACTCTTATCTCTAATAAGCCACCAGAAAACCAGACATGGTGCTGTGGCTCAAGTAGCAGAGAGCTAAACTTGAGCTTAGGAGCTCAGGGACAGGGCTCAGGCCCAGAGTTCAAGCCCCATGACCGACAAACAAGAAAAGTGGGGGAGGAGGGCTGACAGAAGTAAATGCTTTGAAGAAGGGGCAGAAAAAATAGGATGCATTATGCTTTTGAAGGTCTTCTGGAGATCATAAATATGGTCAGAATAATGAAATTCATAATTAGCCAAGCAATCTTTGTAAACAAATACACAAAGTGTAATTTATCTACACATTCCAATATCTACGGTTTTTCAAAGAATTAACTTTTGAAGTAATGACTAAGAGCCTATAATCTAGCCAGCCAAGTGTACCTCTTAATGGGTGAGCTCTATCATATATTATTAGTGGGCTATGTATAATTTAACTGTGCTTCAAGAAGTATGTGCTTTGCTACCCGTGGTTCCTACACATAATCTGAGCTACTCAGAAGGGTGAAACCTGGAGGATCATAGTTGGAATCCAGCCCAATCAGAAAAGTTTGGGAAACTCTATATCAAATTAACCAGCAAAGCACTAGACAGGAGGCATGGCACTAATGGTCATGTATTAATGAGAAGCAAGAAAGCTGAGTGAGGGTGAGAGGCCCTGAGTTCAATCTTTAGGTGTGGCATACGTACAGGTTAAAAGAAATTAACCTCATGAGGACCAGCAGTGACCTGGTGGTATTACACTGGACACATAGGAGTAGAATTATAACAGATTCTTAACTTGGAAACAGTGGCACAAGCCTGTAATCCTAGCTACATAGGTGTCTGAGATCTGAGGATTATGGTTCAAAGCTGGCCAGGGCAAGAAAGTCTCAGTTTCTTATCTCCATTTATCTAACAAAATCTAAAAGTGGGGCTGTTACTCAAGTGGTAGGATACCAGCCTTGAGCAAAAAGTTAACTAACAGAGCTCAGGTCCTAAAATCAAGCCCCAATACAGCAGAAGAAAAGAAGAGTTTCAATAAGGTTATGAAGGAATCCAATCTATGGCTAGCCATGTTAAGCTAGGAGTGACTAGTAGTAGTAGTGATTTCTCTGATAATTTAAATTATATTGCTAAACTACATGGTTTCTGAGTGTCTACTGTTAGGAATGACAGAGTGAAAGCATGTCTGTGCAATGTGAATGGCGAATAGGAAAAATGTAGCCTATTTCATGAAATAACTAAAAAAATGCAATGATTTGTGATCTACATCCACAGTGCAACTTAAATGCACTCCTTTCACATGAAGTTATGCTTTTTAAAAAACTTTAGTACAATTTTGCTTCAAAATAATAATTTGTCATTACTTTTTAAAATTCATTTTTAGTCTGTATATTCACAATCTCCACTAAAAGAGAAAGATGTGAACATTAAATTTGGCTGTAGCTGAAGTAAACCATGTACTAATTAGCAGTACTCTAGGGACAAAGCTGCTGATTTTCTGAAAATAGTATTATGAATTATTGTGCAAGTCCCCAAAGACATTTATATGAGAAACGTTTCAAGAATAAAACATATCTTAATATGTGCATAGCTTGGACACTGTTTGCATAAAATCAAAGTAACCCATCTACCTTCAGATCTATCAGTTTACTTAGGTAAAGTACTAAAGAAATCTGCATGATTTGCTATCACTAGTATGGTAGAGTAACAAAACAAAAGGAGCAAAGGCATAGATACCTGTCAGTGTCCCTGAAATTCTGAACAAATGCTGACAAAAACAATGAAGATTAATGGGAAAAAATGAAAGTGTTCTGAACTCACAACATTTAGGGAGGGTCATGTATATTTATACCACCACATATCACACATAACTCTCACTACATAGCATTCAAATGATTTAAAGACAGTTCTTTCCAATACTGACATATCCACCACAGACATTTTTGGGTAACGATAGACAATATATATGTTAAATATCCAAAGACAGATGAATTTATCTTTTGCACCTAATTATTAAGCTATGAATTAAGAAGAAACTAATTGTATTTTTAAATATTTAATTTTTCAAAATGAAACAGTAAGGTACAAAAATATAATGCTCATGCAAATGGTTAACTCTGAAACTACTTTTGAATTCTTTTGTTTGCCTAAGAAATCTTATAAGATAGAGGTTATTTGTTTGGTATTTTTTTGAAACTTTTGGTCATATTCAACACTATTACACAGGACATAATATTTTTCTTGACAAGGAAAAAATCTGTTTAGTAAGTATACAACACATTAGCTTTTCTATCATAATACAACTTATATTAAGTGTCCGAGTACATCTGATGCCACTTTGTAAGTCTATATTAGCTCAGTTAAATTATTGCCCAGAACCACTAATGGTTAAATGTGAAGGACAAATTAACATTATTTATTTGTGTACAGTCTTTTACTTTCAACTGAATAATACAAATGTTGTCCAACTCTAAAATTCAGACTAAAATCCACCTTACCGTCATCATACTGGCCCACACAGATCACAAAGAGAGAGCCAAGGATGATCCCTGATGCTAACCATTTCCAGAGATAAAACTGTTGACGCATCTTCTGTCAAATCCACTCGGGGCTAATCTGAAATAACAAGATGCAGAAAGAAACATTTGACATGCTCATTAATCTGTGATCGGCAAACAAAACTGTCACCAGACAGAACAGACGTAATGACTTCACAGTTAATTACCTGTGCCACACTGTCCATTTACAAAGGAACACACTTGTGTAATGCACTGGAACCCTTTAGTGACATGCATTTGCAAACAGGTAATCTCTAAGGAAAACCACCTTTTCTGTTTGATTAATTTATAATCAAGTAGGTTGAGAAGTTAACCTACCAATGATATTAGGAGCCCCATCCTCTTTAAAACTGAAAACAAGTGGGTGAATCAAACATTAATCACCAGAAGTTACTAAAACTGTGTTGTTTAGAACATCACTCAACTAGAATGTATAAACTGCTTTACAGCAAATTAGGATGGTAAATCAGTTATTAGTGTCTCACATGACACTTATTGAAAATTTATAGGCGAGTGCTCTACCATTTGAGCTACAGTGCCACTTCCAGTTTTCTAGTGGTTAATTGGAGATAAGAGTCTCCTTGCTGGGGCTGGCTTTGAACCGTGATCCTCAGGTCTCAGTCTTCTAAGTAGTGAGGATTACAGCATGAGCCACCGGTGCCCAGCTAAAGCCTTTTTTTTTTTCAAATCCTTTTTCACGTATTTGTCATTTGAAGCATTTGGGATAATCCCCTCTTAATTCCTTTGTTTTATTTTGCAAGTATGAAAAAAAAGAATAACTGAGGTACCTAGCCAGGGAGTTCACTAGTCTTTCTAAGGGAATATGCTCAATTTCTTGTAGGTAAAGAAAACTATTCACCCATAATAGCACAAAATACCCCTGATTATAATCCATGATAGGACAGAGATCCAGACTCTGTTTCTCTGATTCACAGGTTCCAGCTCAAATGCCTACAGAGGATAGCAAACAAAGGAAAAACCATGAATCAGTCCATGGGGACAATAGGTAGAGGCTGTAATGAACTCTAGAGGGCAGGGTTTGATTAGAGACCAGCTGGTGCTCCATGGCTGTCACTGGTTGTCTTGTGGGAACACAAAGGTTGCCAGGGCCACAGATTTTCCAGGAGAAAGCAGGCATCCAAATTTCCATGTGATTGCTCAGTGTTTCAATGACAGTGCAATCCTCTTTCAAACACTAAATGCCTTTGGCAGGTCATAATAGTATCTGAAGTTCTTCAGTTCCTATTCCTGCCTAGGATTCTCTCCAAGACTAGACTAGGTTCGACAGAGGACACAAGGGAACTATTTTAACTCTTTTTTTTTACTTCATTGTATTTCATTCATAGGCATTTTATTTATAATAACAAAGCATATCTAAGTCCCTATAATTTTTAGGTATTCATATTGAACATGCGAACATAAATGTATTTACTTATTGGATGCACAAGTCTTGAATTTCACAGACCACTACATTAGATGTCTATTAAACATTATTTATATGGAATTTATTCCTTATTTCTTCTCTAAGAGGAGAAAGACACCTTCATCGACCTGGCTCACCAATGATTTCTTTTCATAATTATAATGTGTAGTTCCTGATTTTTTTGAGTTCTGGGTACAATGAACCCAATGAGAAGTCAGTCATGAGATGTCAAGAGAATACTCTTCATGTTTTACTATAGTGAAAAAGAAAACAAATTTGATCAGTGACAGTGGTTGTATAGAGCAATGGATAAGGGCATCTTTAAAAATATATGTTCTTTACCAAGCGCCAGTGGCTCCCACCTGTAATCCTATCTACTCAGGAAGCTGAGATCTGAGGATCACCCTTCAAAGCCAGCCTGGTCAGGAAAGTCCATAAGACTTTTATCTCCAATAAACTACTCAGAAAAAGCTGGAAGTGGAGCTGTGGCTCAAGCCATAGAGCACTAGCCTTGAGCACAAGGAGGCTCAAAGACAGCTCGCAGGCTCAGAGTTCAAGCCCCAGGACCAGAAAAAAAAGTATATACATATATATATACATATATGTATATACATACATATCAAAAAGAATATATATGCATATATGTGTATATACATACATATCTATGTATATTTTGATGTTTTTATTTTATTGTCAAGGTGACATATAGAGGGTAACAGTTACATAAGTAACTGTTATATACATTCTTATATATCTTATAAATGTTCTTATACAATCTTACAGTTGCTAGTTGTAAGACAAAGAAATTAGTAGCATCTATATCTCGCTACCACTACAATTAAATAGCAATATAATATAATATCTAGCCCGCAAGACTGTTATAAAAATTAACTCAATTGAACAGAAATGGATGCTTAGGATAATACTTCAAACAAAATGAATACTCCATAATACTTTCTATGATTCTTTTTGACCCAGTAAAGAGTTGTTAGGCTCTTCTAAGTACTTTATCCATACAATTCTTTGATCTGTCCTTAGAAATGTCTGTAAAATATTTGTTTGTATATGATTCTAAGGATCTTCATGGAAATAACACACAAATCTTCAGCATCTTAAGATTTAGTATTGTATTTGAATACTTGATTTGTTTTTAACCATAACACAGTCCAACTTTTGCAAAAGACATACTGCAATAAGTCATTCATTTTTACCTTTCCCTTAAATTAAGCACAATAACTTTTACTTTGTGTTTAGGGGCACTGTTTATTTCATTGGATGGCATATTTTCACAAAATTAAAAAGCAGGAAACCACAGACCAAACAATGATTTCAACACTACTGAGATAGTAGAGAACTTTAACAATGAGAGTTTTACATCTATTAGCTGCACACTGTGATATGCATAGTGAATTTTCATTCTTACACCTCATGTTGCAAAGCACATGTAATAAATGTGAGTTAGGTGGCTTACTGAGTTACCATCCTCATTCTGTGGAAGAAGAACCAAGCTGACATGAAAAGAGGCATGAATCAAAAATAAGCCACAGGTTATTATTTAAGTCATTAAAGTAACAGACAGTTTTATCCCTCCAGAAAACTCCCTCTTGGGTCCTGTTTATTTTTATTTCAGGATCATTTATATTTTGGGGAAAAATGTTTATTTTTTTTCTTTTAAGAATGGCTACAATACTGTCTGTATACATCTTCTGCAGGAAGAAGATATCTCTGGGGAATAGTTCATACATGTTTGTGTATGTACATAAGAAATATAATTACACATATGCATCTTAAGTGTTTTATTCATGTCTACTTTAGTTCCAAAGTAATTTTAATCACCTGCGTGGCCTTTACAGCAATTAAAAGAAAGCTACAAGTCATGATATGAATCTGATATCCCAATGCATTAAGAAAACCTGCTTTTACTAAATGATATACTAAAAAGTTTCCTTTCATAAACAGACTGTGATTGTCCAATCAAAAGACTAGAATACCACTACAGTTATACACTCATTTGGCCCATCAGTTGATGATTTGACTTGAACTAGCATATTACCCATCAATAAGTTGAAAAAAATTATGTGGGAGATGTAACCTAATATCATTCTAAATGACTATAGAAAAGTGAAAGCTATTTAAAATACCTGTATCCTATTTGGAAATCCCACATAAAATTCTGTCCCTGTTTTCTAAATGAAAAATTTCCTATCTCATCCCCATGATCAAAAATATCATACTCTATTAAGGTACAGCCTACTTAGAACTAAAAAAATATAGTGGCATACAAACTAATTTGTATTTGCTTCTTAGATGGTAACAACTTAATTGGCATATCCAAAAATGTGATATAGTCAACAGATAATATTTTGCAATGATTACCTGCTAATTGCATTAGAATAGTGTCAAAAATTGGGAAATGTTAGCTTACACTATTATGTTTATAATTTTACACATAAAAGGTCTGAATTTCATGTTTAACTGATGTTTTCCTTAGGCTTCAAATATTTTATGACAATTTTTATTTTATAACAATGTAATATTCTGACTGATTTCTCTATTGTGTTTTCCTTAGTAAGTAAAGGCTTTCATTTCTCTGGCAATCTAATTTCTCAAAAATTCATTTGTCCAACCAACAATCATGGAATATCTGTGAAATATTTCCTCTTCTCTGTAGTTGAAAATATTAACAATATCTGTCAAATTTCTCTGCTCTCATGAATCTTACAGTCTAGCAAAAGGAACATAGGCAATAATGAACAAAAATCAATTATATTACACTTTAAAAATTATAGTGACAGGAAAACTAGGTAGTACTTTTACTATCAAGACATTGCCGATGGGCATGCCTATAAGACTTGCTACGCAAGTGGCCGAGACCCAAAGGATGAGAAGGAAAGATCTGCCTAGGCATAAAAGTCTATAATATTCTGTCTTCAACAGGCCAGGATGGAGGCCTGTTTCCAATGAAAGAGCACTAACTAAGTCACACAAGACTCTTGGTTCAAATCCTAATAGCACAAAAATAATAATAACAAAACCCAAAATCTTCATGCTGATGACTTACACATAATTAACTTCCAATAAATAAAGATTGCATAAAGCCTCACTATGTGAACCTTGGACGAGAGCATTTTCCATGGTGCCCACTACCTTCAGTACTGATTCTTATTTAATGGCTTGGAGGAGACTGCAGGAATATTACTTTATCTTTGGGGTACAAATCTAAAGCCAGGAGATTTATTTTTATCCTTTGCCCTGTGCCTAGGTGGCTGTGGGTGACATTTAGCAGAAGCAACCAAGGCCAAAGCGAAAGTCTTCTCTCAAATTTATTTATGGCAATTCTAACTATATTTTTTTAACTTCTATCCCTGACATCCATGAGGAAAGCCTCAATGTTCTTGAGCTGTCACCATTTGGAGTACATTTTCATTATAAGATGAAAAATCCCGCTACTACAGAAGGCAGCAGGCTGAGGCTCCCAGGGCAGGGGGAGCTCTTTGGAGATAGTCCCCCATTTCAGTAGTAAACTCAGCTAGTCTCCTGGTTATTCTGATATCTGACACAATCTAGACAGAGCTATAAAAATAACACTTGTCACTACTCTATTTTCC